ATTTTAGATACAAGAATTATCAATGCTCAAGAAACTATAATTAGAGAATGTTTCAATTAGTTGAGATGGAAATTTCATTTTTTTGAAAAAAATCATTATGAAGATTGTTAAAATTTGAAAAATGATGTCTTAATATATAAAAAAGATTTATATGCATTTTTGAAGTTTGATTTCAATCTATAAGTTTTACTATTTATAAAAAGTAGGTAAATAAGTGAAAACGGGCTTTTGAGAGTTTAAAAAGGCAAAAAGAGTCACGTGCATGGCACGTGACTTTTCTCCATCCAAAAGTTGAACCTTTTAGATCAAGTCTCGTTTTCCGGTAAGTTTACTTTCTCCATCCAAAAGTTGAACCTTTTAGATCAAGTCTCGTTTTCCGGTAAGTTTAGAGTATTATGTGCACAATTCAAAAATTAAGACAAAAAGCGCACATCCGCTTAAACCAGTTATCAAGAATGCAATCTTGTCTTTTTTGTTGTTCTTTTACTTTTGTTAAGGGGTTACCCTAACCGGTTCTGAACTTGTAACCTACTTAACCCATTCAGACATCAGGTTATTTATCTGGATTAAAGTAAATCAAGGAAAAGAAGTTTTACAAGGCCACCTCCTGCTTGAGTAAATAGATAATTATCCCTAGTTATGTTGTGATAGAGGGAAGATTATAGCGGCTTGCAAGCATTTTTATTCTACCAATATATGCTAGTGTTGTGGAAGAAGTCCCGATTACATGAATGGCAGTGAAGTTAACTTGAATGTGTGGAAAGCCTGGAATGGTGATATTGGGTGGTGAGTGAACCATGTCAGTTACTCATTTTTGAGAACTAAAACTGGTTGATAGTCTGATACACAACTTGTTGATGATAAAATTCTAACATGAGCCATTCTGCACCTGTAGGGGGTTGAATAGGATTTGAGGTGGTGGTCATGTTTTCTCGAATATTTAGTGTGTTGTAGTGGGTGTCTCGACCTAATCAATAATTGAAATTACATACAAGCATGCAAGTTTTGCTACCATTCACATCCCCACCCCCAGGAATAATAAAAAAGGAAACGAGTAAAAACCTTAGCACCTCAATGTGCTTGAATTTAGTCTATTTGATTTCTAGAACAGTAGGCAAGATGTGATATTTGAAATCTTTTTTATATTAATGGTGGAGATGCTCATAGAATTGAACACTGCATGCTGATAGTCAAACACAACACTTTTCATCTTTCATGAGTATAATAGTATAATACATACTAATTAATCATACGTTTGTACATGCTGCAGAACTTGTGTAGATGGAAATAAATGGGATTAGAGTTGTTGGGCTTCTGTTTTTGGAATGATGGAATTCAATTAAATGTGTACTGCTGTTATCAACAACAAAAAAAATAAATTAAATGTGTACAACTGCTGCTAGATAAGTCTTTCGTTCTCATTTTGTCAGAAAACTGGTTCTCGGTTGATGCTAAGGAGCCCATTGCTTTTGTTATTTTAGAAGTTCTTGAAGCAGCTGACATGAAGCCGTCAGATTTAAATGGTAGGTGAAAAATTGTCTTGCTGTACTTCTGTCAAATCATTAGAAATATATGCCTAAGAGCTGGGTGCTCTTTTTCAGGATTCGCTGATCCATATGTTAAGGGACGCCTTGGCCCCTACAGATTCAGGACTAAAACTCGGAAGAAGACATTGACTCCACAGTGGAATGAGGAGTTCAAGATTCCAGTCTGTACATGGGAGTCTCCTAACAACATGCTCAATGTAGAAGTTCGTGACAAGGACCATTTTATTGATGATACATTGGGGTTCGTCCTATTCTCTCTTGGCAATTTAAATACTAGCCACCTTTCACCCCTTGACCATGTAGTGATTGGGTTACGCTCAGAAATTTTCCTTGTTTTGTGGTCTCTTTCCGGTCTTGTGACGATCATGCTTTAGGGGCTTGAGTTCTATTTCTATACTCATCTTGTGCCCACAGTTTTTATCATGTTTAGCGTTGTGCTTCAGCTGTCTCTCTTGCTAATCTGGTTGCTATCGTACTATGCTGACATGCAAAATACCGATACTAGTTTTTGACCTATGTTTTATCATTTTCTTCACATCTGGAGTTTTCTCATACATGAGAGGAATTAGGGGTTTCTTATTTATGGGTCCTGAAACATCAGAATGCCTTGTGCCCATTTGCACATAGTGATTTTACCAGACAAATCTCATTACAATCTATTTGTTTGGATTTGTTGTTTTAGATTTGGTATTTTCTCCAGCAGACCCCACATCAACCCTCTGGAAGAGAATGAAAGCGGAAAATAAAATTTTTAAATAAAGGATCTGCATTTAGAATTTTGTTTTCTATTTCTACTATTGAACTAGACTTGTAAAAGTTCTTCTGTACTTTGACTGCTAAAATAGAGAAGTGTCTTTTTTGATGTTAATAACTGCATGAATCACCTCATCTAAAAGTTTTAAGTTACATAAGGGATCACTTCTAAGTATTTATTTTAAACCTGCAACACGCCCCTTAATGCATAGAGTTGATACTTCTTTGTGGGGCTACGCATGCAGAAATATATCCTTGGTGAGTGGAGGTGAGACTCGATCTTAGGTCTGCCTACTTTGATACCATGTTGAACTATGTGTACTGTGTCATCTAAAAGTTAAAACTATTAGATTATACTACTCTTCTAATCATTTATTTTGGCATGCACCAAACTTACTGGACGATAAATTTTTCCCTTTTGGTGTATGCATTATCTGTCATTTTCCTTTTTTCATTTTGACATCAGTATGTTCTCCAACTGGAATATTATTCAACGCTGACATAAGCAGCTTATTTACTTGAATGTTCTTTTTTGTGTGAACAGAGATTGTTCCATCAACATCTGCGATTTTAGGGATGGGCAGAGGCGTGATATGTGGTTGTCTCTTCAGAACATTAAAATGGGGAGATTGCATCTTGCCATAACTGTTGTTGACTGTAGCAAAAAGGTATATTTTCTTATGAAATTTGTCATGAACAAGAAATTAGAATGTTAAGAAGCAAAGTTTTCACAGGGATTATCTTCTTTGCACCTGAAAGTTCTTTCCGTTATTCTGCTGATGAATCATGAATGCACTAAAACTAGATAAGGACTATGCTAAGTTTAAGGCAGTGCTATTATGAAAATAAGCCAGCGCTAAGTTTTCAGCAATTTTCAGCGCGCGGAGCAGTCATATGAGCGAGGAAGCGTGGACGATGAACAGGATATCAAATCTGCTGAGATGGATACAACTGAACAAAGCTCCTTAACCACTGAATCAGCCGATAAATCATCAAAAGCTGGAGATAAGTATGAACCTATTAATATCGAAGGGCAGCAGGAGACTGGTATATGGGTACACCACCCAGGGAGTGAAGTAGCACAAGTCTGGGAACCAAGAAAGGGAAAAAGCAGGGTTGATGGGGAAGTTCTTGGCGTGAGTGGTGATTCCAAGGGAAGTTTTAAGTCAACTGCAGGGGGCTCCCCGCACAATGATGAGTGCAGGTCTGATGGAAGTGTTAATGGAAGTAAGCCAGATTCTCCTAGTCGAATTCACAGGGGTTTACATAAGATCAGCTCGCTTTTCCACAGAAGTCCTAGACACGAGGATAAGTCGGGCAATCTCGGAGAACCTGAGACATCTCAACACGAGAATCTTAGGGCAGTTAGTGCCAAGGAAATTGGAGTGAAGATTATAGTGGATGACACGGTTTCCCTTTCATCATTGGTCACAACACCTACAGAAGATGGAAAAGAGAGTCATGAGGGAAATGGGGAACGCCCCAAAAAGGGGAGAGTGAGAGACAAGGCAAAGAACATTCTTAAACATGCTGGTAAGTCTGTTGGTGGTGGCATAAAGAAAGTGGTGTCGCGGAAGTCATCAGGAAAATCTAAAGGGGAGCTAGAATCATCAGAGACAGAGAGAGTGAGCTCCCTTGAATCTGATTCTTCTGATGCAGAGTCTCAACCTTCATCAATTGATTCACCTCGAGTTGTAGCACCTTCAGTTGGCAACACTTCCTTAGCCAGCTCTGGTATTGAGAGTTTTGACACCACAATAAAGACCAGTGGACCAGTAGAGAGGGAAAGCATTAAAGCTCCAGATGAGGTAGCAGGGAACGCAAAAGACAATCATGCCTTTGGTCAGACTTCAAGTTTCAAAAGTTCGAGTTAGACCAATGAAGCGAGCTCTGTACGTGTTAAGGACAGTTTTCTCATTTTCCCCCTTGTACAGTCTCTTTAAGCAGATTGATGTTCTTATTCCGTTCTACTTGTATATGCTGTTATGTCCTGCCTGTAATAGCTTCATGTAGGCTAAAGCAAACTGTACCATAGGTTCAAAGTGTCTAGTTCGTTCAAGTTCTGTAAATCATGAAAATTTTGGAAAGATCAGTTTTTTTTAAATTCATTTTTCCTTGTTGGATTCCTCTCCACTGTAAAAGTACTGGTTTATCTTAGTCAAGTTTGAAGGTCATGAAACAATTTAATTGCATTTCTTTGTTGGTTCTTTTATTTTTTTCCCGTCTAGACGCCGAGCAATTTCAGGTGCTCCTCTTTCACATGGATTTTGCGTTAGAGGTCTTTGAACTGGTCTTGTTTGAGCTAAAGGAAAGAGGTCTAACTAATTCAATTAATGATCCAGGGATTTCTCCGTATTACTATCTAAAGTCACTTCACAAATTGTGTAATCTTCGGGTTGCTATTGTATTTTGTTCTTCTGCTCAATCATTTTCTTTTCATAAAATTAGTAGTTGTGCCAAGGGGACTACGTAAAGATGTACCATATTAGCAGTCTCTTCGATTCATGCCACAAGTTACCCCATGCAGGAAATATTGCCAAATTCCAAATTGGACCATTCAATGGTAACCATACAAGGAGACCAGCTAAGGCTAGGTCGACATAAATTGTGTAGTTATCCTATGTGATTAGGTATGTAGCAAAAATAATACTACGTACTACTAACTTTTCAGAAGGATAATAAATTGTGATAAATGTGGAGTATTCATCAATGTCTATGTACTGTACCTTGTCAAAGTAGTATATCTATACATAAAAAAAATATAACCTAATGCTACCCTATCCACATGACAAGATGTTTTTACAAAATTATGTAGACATCTTGCTCTTCTATAGTACTAAAAAATGAAGTATATGCACGTGCAAGTTATGTAGTGACCGAGTTGTATCACTAATGATTCTTCTTTCCTGCGAGAATTGGCTGAATTTGCAACCTCCTACTGAAAGCCTCATTAAACAGAAACCGAGTTTGGAAAGCTGAAATTACTGGAAGCCAAGCCAATGAAGCTATAGGTGCAAAAAGAACTACACCCATTCCATAGTCATAAGCCCGAGCAAACACCCGAGTGAAGTGCCATAATCCAGTACCTTCAATCTTGGGTCTCACTGCTTGCCCAACCTGAGGAAACAACAACCATTTATGCAAAGCAGAAAGTAGTACAACATCAAGGCTTTTAGGAAGAACATATTCTGCACTTACCAATATGAAGCCCCAACCAGTTGGTAGAAAAGCTAGACAGCAGACAATCAAGTCTTTCACGGACAGATGACATATGATTGACAGGGTAATAATAGTAGCCACAACTCCTAGGAAAATAAAAGCTTTAAACAGCCGGAAAGTTAAGTGATGGTTTGCACTTAAAATCCGCCTTCCAATATTCAGCACCTGTGTCATGTTTGAGAATTCATTAAAAAAGTGAACAAGAATGTATCAATAATAGTACACTTAATACAAAAATAATGGTCAGATTCTCAATTTTAGTATTTCTTCTGCCATCCATTATATGTAAAGTATGTCAGCGTTGCAAAGACACTGAAAATTATATATTCTGTCAAAAGAGAAGTTCATGACACGAAACAGAAAAAGGAAAAGAAAAAAGGGATGCGAGGTTCAGAGTCTCAATTTCTTTGTTGTTTATATTTAAATTTAGTTTATACAACCCTTCTACATGGTCTTGTGTCACAAATTATGTAAATGATTTTGTCAAAACTCAAATTAAAGTTGGATTGTTGACGAAAGAATTCTGGATCAGATGTTCAATGCTTATAGCAGTTTTAAGGGGGACATACAAGCACCATGCAAATAGAACAAGAACTTAGATACTAGTCAAAACAATGTGGAGAAAGAAGCTTACCTTGACCAAGAGGAAAATAAAAGCAATGACAACCCATGAGAGCACATAGACCAGGAAATTTTTATGGGAGCCGGATATGTCTAGGTGATACACCAGTCCATACTGGTAAAGGAAAAATCTTAGTGAAAGGAGTATCTCAATTAACCGAGAAAATAGCCCTGCATGACGAAGATGAGCTTGTTCGTCATTCCACCAAGACTGCCAACTTTTGTCTTGTTGTATCCCTATACCACCTTGCTGATTGATCCACTTGTTCCAATCTTTCCAGTCATCCATTATCTTGCCCCAGTCAAATCCAGAAGGATTAAATAGAAATGGCGCAAACAACCAAGTCAATGACATGAACCATATCGCATAAGTTGTTAAAACATATGCAATGTTGCTCTCGTATGATCGCCTATACAAATCATAAACAATCAACAGAAGCAGAAGTTCAAATCCTTTGATGAAGTGACTCCTAGAGTAAAGTCTATAATTTTCGGTGAAGCTGGCGTGAAAAACCACAACTTTACGACCAGTGGGTCTATACTTGGCACCCCCATGAAGAATTGTTCTGCCATAATAGTGAGATTTTGTTCCAAAGGAAAAAGTAAAGAAAACAGCAGCCAGTTGCAATTGCATGAGAACAAAATCTTTAAGGGCATTAAGATACCCTCGCTCAAGTCCCAACTCTATGACCATTGGTAAACCCGTTAAAAGTCCAAGCTGGATAAATGACTGAGAGGCTAGAGCTGTTTCCAGTGATTTTATGTTTTGCAATTTCGCCTCAATGAGAAGCGCTCTTTGTAGACCACTTAATACCAGGTACAGCTGCCCGTATAGAAACACATATATCGTAATCACTGATAGCTGCAAAGTTTTGAGAACAGGGATTAAAAGAGACATAGAAATCAGCATAGCCAAGTGTATCTCAGGAGACCAAGAGAATATGGAAGCTGAAACGCTTGAGTAATTCATAAGAATTACCATTTACCACTATAAATTTCTTGATTAAGCAATAAGGTACTCCCTTGGACTCAGAAAATATCACAGTCTAACCTACACAGTTAATCAGAGTAAAATGTTTGAATTGATTATTCTATGAGTTTAATAGAAATAATTCTTAGAAATACGAAGAAGTAGTTGATTCAGATGATGTTCCATCAAATTTGAAGTAGTGGTTCATAATAGTTTCACGTGTTAAAGTGAACAAGAGTCCAGTTTTCTGGTAAGGACTGAAGGAAAATAGGTCAAGTATTGGGTTGGATGGAGTAATAATAAAATTGCAGCATTTTTTTTTTTGGTTAAAGGGAAATATTTTATTGATAATCACACCACGGTTCCAAGTCGCGCATACTAATGCTCAGTTATAAAGTCTCGTACTCGGAGACAGTAAAAAAGGATAAACTCCAAGTTTGACTAAAAACTACTGAGTACTGAGTATTAATAAAAGTTACAAGTGAAGTATTGGTTATGTTAATTTCACTTGTTGGAGGAAGAAAGAGGTCGCCTTTTTCAAGGACCTAACAGAAAGCAGGAAAAGCATTTCCGGCTGGAGGAAGAGAGAATTGCATCAGTTAAGCCATTTTGATCCCTCACCATGCAAAGATTTTATTAAAAAAGGTTGCAAGTGTGACGAAGCAGGTCAAGTTTCCAAGTAGCTCATTCATGACTTACTAACAAATTTCATGTTCAAAGACAGCAAAAAGAAGATAAACTACAGGATGTAACGTAGTTACCAGGCTGTTGAAGTAGAAGCCAACGGTTGTAAAATAACACGAGAGCATTCGGAAGAAGTCAAATCTATGACCAAGGCGGTATATATCACGGCTGATTGTTTGTTCGCTGTTTCCATTGGCAACTTTAGCTTCAAACTTTGAAATCTGGTTAAGGCCTACATCACGGCCTTTTCCGACTTGCATGTACTCAAGATACATGACATATCCCCGTCTCAGAGTTGTGTTAAATCCTACATTACATCAGAGTGGCAAGTGTTTGCTAATCTGTACAACTTTACGATGTTCAAATAAACATTTTGCATTAACTGGAAAACCTGCAAAAACATCTTCGCTCAAGTTGATTGTTTTGGATGCTTTGCTAATGCCACCTCTTGTCAAATGAAATACTCGGTCAAACAAATCCGGGTGCCCATAATGGAACCTGACCCTGAAATTTTCGATGGAAAAGAAGGGAAAAAAATTATAAAAAGAAAAGAAGCGACAGTTGCTGTAAGCAAACTGAATATATTCTTATTTTCCTTTATGCAGAGAACAAGAGAAACACAATGTCACTATTGGAAAGGAATATAGAACTGATATTTTATCCCCAAAGACTACTTCCTTATTACTCATTTGATTATTATAACATAACAGTAAGCATGTCAAAAATAATCCTTAAATTACCTGAGTGGATTAGCCAGAAGCCTCTGGCCAATGGTAACAAAACTGGTCTCTTGATAGGACATAAACCAAGCTAAAGAAGAAACACTGCAATCAGAGAAGTGGATGAAAGCTTCTTTAGCATTTAATTCAAAAATTTCTCTTCTTTATTTTCCTCTTTTTAGAGTTAACTCGTTCTGCGAAACAAGCATTAATTGATGCAGGAATTCCCAATCCACATGTATAGCTAAAAACAAATGGCACTGGATTCAAATAGCCAACTATGGTAATTCAACTTAGTAAAGTTCAGAACTCAAACTTTAACTTTAACCCAAGAACAATGTGTAAAACTGGCTATCTCCATATTGGAGATTAACAATGAAAAATGAACTCCAGATAACATTCTTACCCCTAACTAAAGCTGGCTATTATATAATTGTATAATCAGGTCATTGTAGTCATAATTCTCAGATGCTGACCTTCCTGTAAATATGTGCTCTCTCATGCCAAGTACCGTGGGATGCCGCCGACCATGATCTTTCAGGAACTCTTGCAAGATATTTCGCACTTTCAAAGCTTCTTCTAAATAGCTATCCTGTAAGAACAAACTATTAGAACAGATATATGAGATTATTCTTTTTTCTTTTTCCAAAAAACTGAAGGCTGATGAATACCTGGTTCATGTCAATGGTTTGGAGAGCTTCACCACGTGTGAAAATTATGGAATGATTTTGATTTTCCGGTTTCCCCTCTCCAATATTTGGTGGGCCAGGAAGCTTTATGCGGTATACTTCCTATAACAGTTGACAAACAATTGTAAGAATAAGATAGACCACTAACAGACATTGTTCATTCAGATTAATTAAGGTACCTTATTCAACTCAATTAGAAGTACCTATATCAGAAGAATTTGATACTAAAAGGCCTAAGCAAGTGAAAAAAAGGACAGAGTAGGGATATTCACCCTAAGAATAATAACATAGGGAATAATAAAAACTTCTTGTTGTTTTTCTAATAAGGAGTATTCATCCGAACACAATAGAGTATATATCATTTACAAGTTTCCAGACTTCAAATCTATTAAACAGCACTAGAACAATCAAATTAAAATTGTCTTATGCAGTCCAAAAGTATCACAAGTAAAGTAAAACTGGAAGGAGGTAGTATCATCTCATTAACATATTAACTACATACACTCTTTTGATAAAAGCCAACTATTAACTTTGAGCCTCTTCAATTAACACCAGCAATACAGCATGCAGGAAATCACTTGTCCTTGACCCTAGTAAAATGCCACAGAATATGGATACAAAGATATACAAAATCCATTAATGATCATGAAAACCCGGGGGTAACAACTCATTTCCTATCTGACAAGCATGGTGGCATTACACTTTCTTGAAGTTAATATATTCAACCGCTGAGAGATTTCTTTTCATACCTGGTCAAAACCGTTAACAGCTTTAACTAGAATAGATGAATAAACTTTTCGCGGCTTGTCTGCCGTAATTTCTTCTTTCTCCTCAACATAAGCAACACGCAAGGAAGGGTACCTTTAATTACCCAAAAAAAAGAAGGAAAGGGTACCTTTCATCAATACATCCGCAAAATAACATTTCTAAATTGCTGAAGAACTTCTATTCAAGTACAATAATATCCAGAACGAAGTTTCATTGAAAAAAAGCACCTTATCATCAAATCAAGTATGTCTTTGGCCTGAGGGTCGCCAGAGTTCTTCTGTGATCCATATATTTGACAAGACACAACATGTGTAAATTTCATGTCTGCTAAGGCTTCAAGTTGAGCTGATAATGTATCATTTTTCTTCTCAATTGCATCATAACCTTGGAGGATATCTGGGGAAAGATAGAAAATGCAAACGACATCCTCTTTAATCAACTATGGGGATGGGGTGAAAAGCAAAACATCTGAACTGTTGTTTTGACAAACCATCATCCTCAGCCATGTCAAGAAAAGCTTGCAACTTCAGCGCTTTCCTGTAATACATCATTCCTCGGACTGTTTTGTTGAAAGAAAGAAAACAGAATAAAGAACATCTCTAGTAAGAACAGAGTTTAGATTTACAGTTTTAATGGAATTCACATTTAAATGAAAGATTATTCCACCTGTTCTGCTTAGAGTTTGCCCTCGGAAAGAAGCCCAATTTCGTTCTTCTTCTTCGAGTTCATCATTAGATTCATCTGATCTTTCCCTTTCCATGCGCTCCAAAAAGTTTTCCCATTCATCTGACAATATATAACTAAAATTAAGATTTAATGAATCACAATTGGTCCCTAACTTATGAGATGGAAAGAGCTCTCTCCCACAATCTCTAAAGCCACAGATAAGTTTTGTGGTAGCAACCTGGAAATATGTTTTTCATATAGAAAAGGATAGCGACCCCTTGTTTTCTTGAATTGAGCTCCTTCTTTGAAAATTTAACTTCCTCCATGTAGTGTGGAGTTAAAACACTGAGAGATAAACAAGTTTCATAAGTTGATCTATTGATGAAATCTGTTTACAAGAATATTGAGACTCTCATCTCAAAATGTTGTGCTTGACAAGTTCAATTGATTTGTCAGCTTTAGATGAAACAGGAAGAATTGAGACAGCATTTTGATAACCGAGAAATTCCCGAGGGCCAGTGTCATGGTTTGAAACTAGGTGGATAATGGGCCCATCCTCTACCCTTCTCCACTTAAATATCAGGATTTTATCTGCAACAAGGTTTGAACCTGTGATGTGCACCTAATCCACACATCACACAATGCACTTTTTTGTATATATATATATATATATTAATTTTATAACCATCTCTTATTTTGAAGAAAGATCTTTCGGTCCTTAACGAATTTTTGATCTTTAGTGAACCTTGATCATCTAGCAGAAAAGAAAGAACAGAAGCATCTTGCAGTTCCCAGGAAATCCTTCGACTTTTCTAAAGAAACAAAGGATTAAACATCTACTCAGATTCTATGAACAGCCGGAGAATTAAATAACCAAAAAGGTTTCAGAAACATGAGAAAGGAAGGTCCCAAAGATCCAATATTTCTTTACGTTGTTGAATCTCTCTTTGATCAATGACAATGCGATATTTCACATTCCTCACTACTAACAGAATTCAAATATCTTTAATAACGAGATCCTTTATACTACCTGAACTAGATCTTGTGCAATTATATTGATGAAAAGGTCGATCCTTGTTTACCATCCATATATTGTCTAACCAAAGCATTCTCTACATGTTTTATCCAAAAATGTTATTTGACCGAGTTCTTCTCCCAACTAACGAGGAGATCTTGGTGGCATGTCCAAGAATGAAACTGAACATAGTTTCGCAAAGAAATAGCACACTTGTTTCTCGAGAATAGATGAGAAACATGCTCTATATCATGTGATTGAATAGCTGACCCAGATATTTGTTGTTTGAAGGAAAAAAAACCTTCCACTATGATTGATATTTCTTTTCACAAAAAGCAAAAATGAGATAAGAAATTTAAAGTTACGCTAAGAGTTTGAAGTGACAAAAATATTAAGCAAATGTGATGAAATCTGACCTGAATGATAACATGTTCCGCACCTTTGGGGCATTAGGCATGTTCATAAACAGAGAAGTGGCGAAAAAGGAAATCCGCCTGCGAGCCTCCAAGTTCGTCGGTATATCCAGTGCTTTATCTTCGACAGTAAGCAGTAAACGGAACCGCTTGACCTACCATTGAAATTAAACAAGTCTCCATAAATGCAATGGGTTTGTGTAGCTATGCATACGTTTTTAGTAAGAGGGAAGTTCGTGGATGAAAAAAAGATGAACCTTTCAGATATAAGAACTTGCATGTACAAGAGTAAGAGAGATAAGTAGTAAAGTGAGTTGCAGCACCTTTTCCATTAAAGAACCACTATCTGGCAATGGAAAATGGATTGAATGCTTAGATGCAAACAGTGGTGGTTCAATCCAACTGAAAAGTTCAGCGACCTCTTCCCCACTTTGCAGTTGAGCATAAAGTAACTCCATTGTTCTGCAACCATGAAGGATGGTTAGACACACAACAAATATAAGAATCTTATGACTTTAAATTCTTCAGCCATCTAACCTTGATCCATTTGACATCAAATCACTTGTTACGAGCTCAAAGATATCTTGAAGTGCCAATACGACTTTATTATGGTGGCTTTCATTTCCCTCAATCTTGATATATAACGATTTGCGTCAATATGGAAATCATGAGTGGGACAAATGAAGAAATTGGTAATAGTAAGGGAGCAAAAGGTTGATGTTTGTGTGCAAAGTTACCAGAAGCTCAAGCAAGGTAATACACTTAGCATTTAGAACCGGTAATTCACTCATTTTCAAGTCCTTGAGAAGTGTTGATCTTTGAATACTTTCCTCAATCTCATCTAATATGCCAGAAATGACCCTGAAAATTGGACACCCATGCCATGAATTGGGACTCTAAAAAGATAAGAGTAAAATTGCAGAAAGTGTTGTCCGCAGTATTGGTATCAATAGTAAATTGCATTTGAAATANTCAATATTAAATTGCATTTGAAATAATATAGTCTGTACAACCTTCTCTCAAGGTCACCAACAACAAGAATTTCGAGGATGTATTTCAGTGATTCATAACACTCTGTCACAACCATGTACATGTACGTGTCCTTCTTTATTGTTCTTAAAAGCACTTCATCCTTTCCCTCAAAGTCTCGTGCAATACTTAGTGCTTTCGAAAGCTACCAAAACATGGAGAATAAGTCAACACACTCAACACAATAATGAATAACATGTAAGCTAATGTAAAATTAGACAAAGCTCCAAGCTTAACATGGTACCTTATCTGCTAAAAGAAAAACAGGCCAACAAACTCGACCAGAGAATAATTCTGAAAATACAGGCATTTTCATCAAATCCATCTCCCTGTTGTCAGTTATTACAGAGTTCTTAGCTTTTTAGTAAAGAACATCATGTCCACATAAGCTAGAGAGAAACAATTCTTTTTTTTTTTATCGGGATAGAGCTAGAGAGAAATAATTAACCTGTCACTTATCACGTCCTCCTCCCGGAAGCTACTGATGATTTGGTTCCATACAAGAACAAACTTTACGACGTTGTTCTTTTCCCTTTCTGAAAAGTGAAAGTTCTGCTAAACGGAACTCCAGAGGGATGAGATAGAGAATTTTAAAGAATTGGAAAGTAAACTTAAAAAACCAATTGTAAAAACCTTTTGGAACGTCAGAGGGATGAGCCAATTCTTTAGAATGTTTCCAGTATCTTTTGCTTGGGGTGGGACAAGACAAGCATTGAAAGCATCAGGTAACGTGTGAAATCTACTTCTCAGCATTCCTAGCGTCCGAATCTGTGGTGAACAAAAGATATGAGAGTATCCATATAATGGTTTAAAATTAACTAAAAATAACTCACCTCACCAAGATGGTGGAGGATTCCATACACTCCGCCAAAGATGGAACAGTAAACAGAATACCAGATTTGTGCATCCATGAAATATACCTGAAACAACAACAAATTCAGCACTGAAGAGATTTATGTAAACAAAAGAAAATGAAGCTTCATAAAGATAAGATGAAATCTTAATAGAACTTACAAGTACAATTGGAGCCCATATAGCAGCTATTGCTCCAGCATTGCTCTTGACTAAATTGAAGAAATCATTCAGAGGGATTTACATATCTACACTCTTCAGCTATTTAAGAAAATAAAAGGTTAGACATTACCTTTCGGGAAAAGCTCGTGCCAGTCGAAATTTTTCACTCCGATTGCCATGATCTGTCTTGTAGGTGATATAAGTGGTTTTATCTGGATATTCATGAAAAGTTAACAGGAGCTTGTGGGCAAAGATTTCAACACAGGTTAATTGAAAAGATGTTTCTTCCCAAGTTTTTCAGAGAAGACAAATAAACATATCCAGATGAATATTAAAGAATTTCTCTACAAGTCAAGGACTTGGGATTTACACATAATTTTAACATTCGTTGCTAACATCATTGTAAAGAAGGGATATCAATTTTTGCATCTGATAGTATGCTGTTTAATTGCAACGTTCAGAAAATCAAATTGTAAGGCCTATTTGCTATAACATAAAATGTTTTCGACAGAAAATATATTCATTGGGAACAGTTCCACTCAAGAAAATCATTTCCCACGTCAATTTCAGTGTCATTGGATACTGTTAAATATGGCAAGAATTGATACTATGTAAATATGAAAAGATACACAAATCCCTATAATCACACAAATCCCTATAATTAAGTAATTAGGAGATTTTGTAGGCTTGTAATTGTAGTCTTTCCTTATTTGTATTTCTGTCAAAGGTTATTTAAACCCAACAGCTTGAGGGAATAATAAAGAACTCTATTCACCATTTTTCTTCTCTTCTTCTTTCACATGGTATCAGAGCTAGGGTTTTTTAGTCCCTGCTCCATCTCATTTTTCTTCCTTGAACTAAAAGACTATAAAAGAACCAGATCCTCCTTGGTCGACTCTTCAGTTTTCTCTATTTCTTCCTGTTTCTCTTGTTTTTTGTAGTTACTCTCATTCACTTTCAGCTGTTCGTGTGTAATAAATACAACAATGGGAGATGATAAAGCAGTTGAAAATCAAATAACTGGAAAGTCAATTTTTTCCTCTTCACCATCTCCAACAATTACTACTGTTAAGTTGGATGGAAGTGGAAATTATACTTCTTGGGCAGCTTCGGTACAACTGTGGTTCATAGGTCAAGGATATGAAGATCACTTGATCAAGAATTATACAGAGATTGGAGCATCTGACAAACCAACTTGGGTTAAAATAGATGCTCAGTTATGCAGTCTTCTATGGAACTCTCTTGACAGTAAGCTACTTAATCTTTTTCAGTCATGTAAG